CTCCGTCTCCCGGGTTCAGGCAATTCTCCTGCCTCAGCCTCCTGAGTAGCTGGGATTACAGGCACGCACCACCATGCCCAGCTAATTTTTTGTATTTTTAGTAGAGACAGGGTTTCACCGTGTTGACCAGGATGGTCTCGATCTCTTGACCTCGTGATCCACCCGCCTTGGCCTCCCAAAGTGCTGGGATTACAGGCGTGAGCCACCGCGCCCGGCCGATTGGTGTTGCTTTTTAATAGTTTAGTACTTATAAATCTTAAATTTTAAGTCAAATATATTATCACTTTCTTAAAGACTAGGACCACAACCCACAGTGGATTTTGTAGTAGAAAGTAAGTGTTTAATACTCATTGGATTGAACTGGGATTTGAGCTGGGCCCTAGAACTTTAAATGAATTACACCTTAATCCCCATTCACTAATCTATTCAATAAGCATGTATCTGAGTACCTAAACCCTGTGCTAGGAATGGGGGAGACTTCTTTTAACCTCTCAGTGCCTCTGTATTTTGAGGTGTCTTTCTCTCAAAATCTCTTGCTGAATTGCTTTGGACCCAAGATCCCTTAGCAGTTCATCCTGCGTAGATATTGCCCTTTTATCTTCCTTTTTTTTTATAAGATCTGACTTTACTGAGTTACTGTTCATCTTACTAGCTTACCTGGCCTTAAATCTCTGTCTCTCTGTCTCTCTCTGTCTCTGTGTGTGCGTGTGTGTGTGCGTGCGTGCGTGCGTGTGTGTGTAAGTCTCCTGAGTACTCACTGCAGGGCTTAGCCTAGCAGTCGATGCTACCCTCCCTGATCGCTGTCCAGTTAAGGCTGGCCTAAAGTGGCAAATCCCTTCCTCCTCCTTTCCTCTAGTCCAGAGTCCAAGATGTGGGTAGAAGTGTTCGGTCAGATAAAACCATCTGAGAATGCCAGTGTCTCCCAAGCCACCCACTTTCCTGGGGAATTTTGAGAATGTCTTTTGTCCCAGCCCCACATAGAGAAGAATCTTACCAGGCAATACCAAGGTACCAAGCCGTACTGTCTGTGGTAGCCTTATTCTTCCTCCTCACTGACATGCCCAGGGGCTTTATGAAGGGTGGGGAGGGAGAAGGGACAGTGTTGCTGTTTGGAGGGATGTCAGGGTCCTCTGAGGAAAGACGGGACATGTGTCTTTGGGGCGGGAAGGCTGTGTGGGTTACTTTCGCTCAGGTCTTGGCGTTGCTACTCTTTCTGTGTCTTTCTCTGAGTCAATTAGTCTTGGTTTCCACATTTGTTTTGACTTCAGCCTCTCTCACCTGCCCTCTTCCATTACCCGGCAGCCTGACTGTTAGCTAGTTCCCGCCACTGTGGCCCAAACCCTTGCTGCTTTGTAGCAAGAGGAGGGAAGGGAGGAGATCCTGGAAACAAGGGAAGCCTCCTGCTGACACCTTCCTTTCCCTTCCCAGGCCTCCAGCCCCCACGCGCATGCTAGGCCTCCTTATTGGGGTCAGGACGAACCAGAGGAGGCCTACGGGGAGAAATAAGGAGACAGAGGGAAAAAGCATAGAGAGGAGGAACGGAGCGACAGGGGCAGAGTCGGAGAGAGGCAGGAGGCTCCCTTGGGAGCCGGGTCGCCGGAGCCGTAGAGAAGGGGAAGGGAGGACGGATCGCGCAGGCTCTGACAGCCCAGCCCAGCCCTGCCGAGGCTCCCAGGTTTCCTGTCTCTTTCAAACCTCCCAGCTCCCTTCCCTCTCTTATGAAATTTCTCCCCAGGGGCCTCTCCTCTGCCAGCCGGTCCCTGCTTGTGTGTGTATCCCTTCCTCTGCCCGGTGTCAGCGACAGTTCGTGGGTCTCTCCATCTCAGCCTCCCGGCCAGGCCCTCCGGGTGGACGGTGCACCGGGCGCCCCTCCCCGGGCGGCACTATTGGCGGAGAGGTGACGAGAAGGCGGTGTCTGGCCGCCCTCCGAGGGCGGGATTAGTCGCGGCCACCCAGAGGCGGGCAGGAGGTGGGTCCGGCGGGGAGGCGGGCGGGGCCGCTGGGGCCGAGCCCAGAGCCCCGGGCGGTCGCATTGTTTTCCTCCGCGCTCCGCGGCTGGACTCGGACCCAGGGCTTTCCCGACAGCGCCCCGAACCCCACATTCGAGCACCATCCAATTCGGACGCTCATCGCAGCTTGCCGGAGCCCAACCACGGATTGCGAACTCGGCGCGGCGCGTGGCCGAGGGCCGTCCGCGGCGATCTCGATCCCGCTGACCCGGATCCCGGAGCAAGTACCCCGGGCAGGGAAGGGGCTGCGGGGAGGCGGGGAGGGCGCGGGAGGGCGCGGCCGGCGGGGGGCAAGCTCCTGAAGCGCTAGGGGACCAGGGAGTGTGTCGGCGCCCCGTGTGCCTGGCTGACGGAGAGGGTCAACGAAGTTGGGGTGCAGGGAGGAAGGAGGGACCGTGGCTGAGCCCCGTAACTGTACTGGTGGGAGGAGAGTCTGGGCACCTCATTCAACTGGGTTTTCTTCGAGTCGCGTCCTGCAGGATTGGGAAGCGCGAAAACGATCATTTGAGGCGCGCACGGTAGAGAGGGTGGAAAACCTGGTCGCTTGCTTTCCCGGCAGGGAAACTAAGGCTCCGAGACCCGCGGAGAATTAGACCCTCCTGACGCCCCCGAAGGGATGGGAAGAGGGGCGCACCATTCCGGACTTTGTGTCACGGGTGCACCTCTGTCCTTGTGCAAGCCCGAGACTGAGCACCCTTTGAGGGGTTGGCTGATGCACACAGGCGGCGAATGGGGTCCCCGAGCAACCTCGGTCCCAGCGCCCATCTCCGTCCTTCAGCCCGCTCGGCCCGGGGCTTTGTTAGACTGAGGTTTCCCGAGGAGGACATCCGAGCCGGCGACTGCCTCCTGAGCCCACAGACCCCACTCGGTGCCGGCCTCAGGCCCGCCCTCGTCGGTTCTCAGCCTCTGGCCCTGTTTCCCTGGCCTGGGAGACCCGCCTCCGCTCCCCAACCCCCGCTCCCATCCCCGCTCCGTCTGCGCCTGCAGGCCCCTGCAGCCCCTCCTCCCGCTAACGTGGCTCTGGGACCCGGTCCCGGCCCAGACTCTGCTACCGGCCCCTCCTTGGAGCCCCGGATCCAGTGAAGGGGAGACACGTCGAGCCCCTGGCCCTAGGCCCACTTCTTTCCAGGCTCGAGACACCTGGATTGTCCTGGTTGGGGGTTGGGTGGGAAGGAGGGTAGGTGCTGAGCTGGGGCTGAGAGCTAACGGTGGGGGAAATGCCTTGGAGAAAGGAAGGCTCCAGTTCCACAAGGCCCCTTGGGGCGACCCTGCTCCCTCTGAGGAAGGTTTACTGGGGCCGGCCACCAGCCCGAAGGCTTCCTGCTATTGTCCCCAGCCCAGTCTCCCCTTCTCCATCCCTTCCCCAGCTCTGCTAGACTCTGGCTATGACCCCAGCCACTCCCCAGAGGTGGCTTCAGGGCCAGGAGAGAGAAGGGCTGTTTCCTCTTCCCAGCAAGGGGGAGGATCTGGAAAGGGGAGAAGGAGTCAGCCAGGTCTCTCCCGTGTGCTTCAGATGGGGGGTGTGAAGCAGCTAGGATTCTTCCAGGGCAGAGTGATCTTTTCTCCAGGCCAGGAGTTGAGGAGCTGCCCAGATGCTGCTCCCCAAAAACAGCTACAAGAAGCCCTCTTAAAGACGTATCATAGTTGAGTCTAGAGGGCCAATGCAAAGGCCAGTCAAGTGTTTTTAGAGGCTGGACTAATCCACCCTAAAGTGGTGTGTGTGTGTGTGTGTGTGTGTGTGTGTGTGTGTGTGTGTGTATTCTGGGTGGGAGAGAGGCAGAGTCTGCTCTCTCAGGGAGGAAGGAAGGGCTGAGGGTGCTTGCTATCAGATCAGAGCATTTTGCCTGGAAATGAAGAGCATGTAAATGAGATGCAAATTAGCCTCTATTGTCCCTAGCTAAGGCGCTTTTGCTAAGAAGGCTGTTGGATTCTGAGGGCTTTAACATGGGAGTGGTCGTCATGCCCCACAAACTCTCCCAGTGACCCCCTTTGCCAATGCTGGCCCTGTAGTTCTAGGAGTTTCTAGCAAGGGGTCATCGCCTTGCCCTGCCCCTACATCTCTGGGCATGAAGTCACCGGCACCTTTGTAACCGAACTATTAATAAGTGTCATCAGTCCCCTCCCATTTGCAAGGCATCTCCCCTACCGAAGCCTCAGCAGACTTTTCTTGAATTTTTACATTTACTTTTAAGGGCTGCGGAAGGGGAGTGTAACTCAGTCTCTTCCCTCCTTTGTCCTGTCTTCCATCAGGTCAGAGGTTTCCTATCCCCCTCACGCCCCCACAGGAGTCACCACCCCAGGTAAGGAAAGGACAGCAGCTCCTGAGAGCAGGGGGTGGAAGCAGGCACGAGCAGGGAGCAGGAACAGGGGCTGGCTCTTCTCCCCACTTGCCAGAGACCAAAGTTGTTTCCAGGGTGAAGATACTAGTTGCTCAGGGCAACTTGGAGGCAGTGGGGTGGTGGGGAGAGCAGGTTGGGGAGGATAAGAGACAAGCTATGTCCCTTTCTCTTCCTTTCTCTTCCCCTGGGAACAGCGTATCCGGAAGCATGTTGAGGGAGGAGGAAGGCTCGGCCTTTCAACACCAGAGGGTCGTTAGCTGGCTGCTACTCTGCCCCTGGGGAAGGGGGGAGTCATCATTAGGTGTTCCTCTTTTCCCTCCTCCAGCTCTCTTGGGACCAGTGATGATGGATTGGGGGTGGGGGAGACACTTGGGTCCTGGCTTCAAGAGTGGAATTACTGGGGAGGTGGAAGGGGGCTTGACCTGGAAGCTCAGGGTCGGTTTTAGGGGACACGGTGGGATGGGCAACTAAGGATTGGTGAAGGATAGTTACCTGTTCACAAAAGAAAGGATTCTCAACCTTCCTGACCTGATTATTGGCACTGACTGAGCCCCTCACTTCAATTTTAGGGGAAGGAAGGAAGCTGGTATGTACCTCCTACTGTGGGCCCCAGCCAGGGTCATCTGGCGGACGGAGGCTGATGGGTGGAAGGAGACCTGTCTCACCATCTATTCCACCATATCCATCTTTTTCTGGACTTTGGGCTACAACTGCCTGCCCGTCACTGAATTATTTATATTTCAATTTCAGAGGCACCAGATGAGGGAAGGAAGGGAAAGAGGGTCACGTTTAGCCATGTTGCTTCACCAATCCCTTCTATCCCTGGCTTCTCATAGTTGGTGGGTCTGCTCTTCCCCCCTCAAGTACATGCACCGGTTCTTAGGAGCCAGGGAGGGAGCAGGGGGCTAGAGAGCCTGGAGGGGGTGGCACAGTGGTCGGGCAGACAGCTGCAGCCAGAGCTAAATTTAGCCTCTGATCTGGCTTTGATGCAGATTCATTTTTGGTGAAGACAGTCCCCCCACCCCAACTCCCCTCCCTACTCAGCTTCTTCCCTAGCAGTGGGAAGGGCCCCTGAAGCATGAGCTTAGACCAGACAGTGACCTCTAGGCTGCCTACCCCAACTCTGTCTTCCTCAACTCTAGAAAGGACAGTGGCAGCCACACAGCTGCCCTGCCTGGGCACAGTGCCTGCATTGCTCCCAGGGTACTGTGGGGGTCTGGGAGGGAGGGGGAGTCAGCCATGGTGCCCTCTTCCTCCTTCCAGTGCCAAGGAGTCACTATTTATAATTTTAAGGCTTCAGTCTCTAATTATAGATAAGAAGGGGTTAGCAAGAGGGGGGCCAGGAGGTGTCACCTACTGAATGTCCCAGACCCAGTCAGGAGACAGGAGGAAAAGCCGAGCGAGAAGGCTGACGGCAGGAGCGGGTGTGTCCTGTCCTTACCTGGGGTCATGCCTGCAGGCCTCACACCAGCCAGTGTGGGCCAGTTGGAGAGGGAAGGGCCTTGAGTGACAATGACAGCTGGCTGGGACTGGGGCAGTGTCAAGGAGAGAGGGTTCTTTCCCCCACTCCACAGGGTCTTCTGGGGATAGACCAGGAGAGGAGCCTGCTCGCTTGCATCGGGGAGAGGGAACTTGGCTCCTCCCCCACTTTTCCCTGTCTCCCCTTTCAGGGCCAGCATATGGGTGAGGGGGCACCCCCTGGGGCCTGAGCTGCCCCGCACAGGATGCCCCGTGCCCCCCACTTCATGCCCTTGCTGCTACTGCTGCTGCTGCTCTCGCTTCCCCATACCCAGGCCGCCTTTCCCCAGGACCCCCTCCCTCTGTTGATCTCTGACCTTCAAGGTGAGTGCCCAGTACCTACCTTGCCCATCTCTGTAAGCAGTTGGAGACTGAGACCCCCTGTGTGGGAGGCAAGGTGCAGGAAGGTGCCCAGCCTCAAGGAAGCAAACAGGCAGAGTGAGCTGACACCTCCCGCCAGCTGTTTCTCATCCCTGGGCTTGGTTTCTTCACTGAGGGGCAGCATCATGTGGAGGTTAAGAATGTGGACTCTCGCCGGGTGCGGTGGCTCAAGCCTGTAATCCCAGCACTTTGGGAGGCCGAGGCGGGTGGATCACGAGGTCGAGAGATCGAGACCATCCTGGTCAACACGGTGAAACCCCGTCTCTACTAAAAATACAAAAAATTAGCTGGGCGTGGTGGCGCGTGCCTGTAATCCCAGCTACTCAGGAGGCTGAGGCAGGAGAATTGCCTGAACCCAGGAGGCGGAGGTTGTGGTGAGCCGAGATCGCGCCATTGCACTCCAGCCTGGGTAACAAGAGTGAAACTCCGTCTCAAAAAAAAAAGAAAAAAAAAAAAAAAAAAAGTCTTCTACCTCATGGAATTATTTGGGGATTAAATGAGGTTATACATGTAAAGTGCTGAGAACACTGTATGGCACAAAGTAAATCCTTGATACGTGTTTGCTGTTGTTCTTGGCTCCAAAGAGAAGACCTAATACGAATTCAGTGGTTGCCAACACTCTTAACTCCCTCTCCACCATTGGTACCAGCAATAAGTCCACCATGATAGAAAGCACGAACCCACTTTTTCTGAGAAGAACCTTTATCTATTTGCAGTCTGGAGTGCAGTGGCATGATCTCAGCTCACTACAACTTCTGCCTTCTGGGTTCAAGTGATTCTCCTGCCTCAGCCTCCCGAGTAGCTGGGATAACAGGCACTTGCCACCAAGCCTGGCTAATTTTGTAGTTTTAGTAGAGACAGGGTTTCATTGTGTTGGCCAGACTAGGCTTGAACTCCTGACCTCATGATCCGCCTCCCGAAGTGCTGGGGTTACAGGCAGGAGCCACCACTCCTGGCCTGGATTTAGAGGAATTTTAAGGATGGAGGAACCGCAGTTTGGTTACTGGGAGTCATTGTTGAGGGATAGATAAGAACAGCAAACACGCCTACGTGCTAGAAGCAGTTCCAAGCACATTAGCAATGTTAAAGCATTTATCCCTGAACTCTGACTATCCTTTGACCACTGATGACTGTGGTTTCCACCATGAGCCAGCCAGGTGGATGCTGGAGGTGAGGTGGTCAGAGGAGACAGAAACCATGGAGGGCTGAGGTGGCCTGTGATGAGCCTCGAGGGGAGGGCGCAGAGAGGGCTTGGAGAAATAGAGTGAATGCTCTGGGGGGACAGCCCTCGAGGTGGGAGTGACAGGAAATTGCCAGCCCCAAGGCAGTTCTGAGAAGGGACGAGGCTCAGCTCTGGAGGCAGGCAGACCTGGATCTGAACCCTGATACCTGCCACTTCCGAACTAAATGAGCAGACTCCTAAACGGCTTCTAGCCCCAGGCTCCTCATCTGGAAAATGGGGCCAAAGCTACCTCACAGGGCTATGCATTAAATGAGACGGTGGGTGCAAAGTGCCAACACTGCTTGGCAGTTAAGCACTCAATGTTGGTATTATTGTTAGGAATAGCTTTTGGGCACTCTAACTTCACATGGTATCTGGTGTGCTGCTGCTGGGTTTCATCGGGTTGGAGAGGGTGTTGGGAAGCGTGTGGTATCCTGGCTGGCCCTCAGCACCCCACCTCTCTGTGTCCTCTAGGTACTTCCCCATTATCCTGGTTTCGGGGCCTGGAGGATGATTCTGTGGCTGCAGAGCTTGGGCTGGACTTTCAGAGATTCCTGACCTTGAACCGGACCTTGCTAGTGGCTGCCCGGTAAACTGGCCGTGGCACAGTTGTGGGGCAGACATGCATGCTCCTGGGCAGACATGGGACCTGCATGGCCACTGCAGCATCTTGCAGGGGACACATGCAGGTGCACAAGCCGTGGGGTGTGGACATGCTTGGATCCAGAGCACAAATGCCAAGGCATGGAGTTAAGGGGCAGGCAGGGGGCAGGTCTGCACTGTTTGTCCCTGAACAGCTGACAGTGGGTAAGGTGGGGGCGAAGGAGCTCAGCTGGGGTGCCTTGACTAGGCTCTGATCCCTCCTTCTCTACCCCTTCAGGGATCACGTTTTCTCCTTTGATCTTCAAGCCCAAGAAGAAGGGGAGGGGCTGGTGCCCAACAAGGTGAGGGGCTATGTGGGAAGAGGTCCAGAGGCTGGGAGAGGGCTAATGGGGGTCAGGTGGGTGGGAAGATGAATCCGAAAGAAGCCATAATGTGAGGAGGGAGGGAACCTAGTTGCCCCATGATTTTCCTTCCTCAACTTCTCCCTTCAGTATCTAACATGGAGGAGCCAAGATGTGGAGAACTGTGCTGTGCGGGGAAAGCTGACGGTGAGGAGATGAGAACGTGGACGGAAGGAGGGGACTACTTTGCCTCCAGTCTCCGTCCAGCTGGTCTCTACCATGCCCAATTTCCTTCACACTTCTTCCATCCCGGCCCCAGGGGAAAATGGGGAGGGAAGAGAATTCCCGATTTTTAGTTGCTCTTACATACCTCACAGAAAAGTGAGGCTCAGAGAGGCCAAAGGATTTGCTTAAGGCCAGAGGGCCAGAAAACAGCTTAGTTGGGACTTTATCCCACATTGCTTTGATGGACTCTAAAGGAGTAGCCCACTTATCTATCGCCCCCTTGTCTCAGACCGAGAACCCCATCAGTGACCTGGAATTTTGGGTTCTCTAGGACGAGTGCTACAACTATATTCGTGTTCTTCTTCCCTGGGACTCCCAGACGCTCCTTGCCTGTGGAACGAACTCATTCAGCCCTGTGTGCCGCAGCTATGGGGTACAAAAGAGAGGGTGGGGGTCAGGATGGAAGTTGGGGGGACCCCAAGATGGGCAATCAGTTTGATGGGAAAGGACCAGGAAGTGGGGCTGCGGAATGGGAGTGCCCAGAATGCAAGGGTTCAGAGGGAGTGGGGAGGAGGCAATGGGGCAGGCGGGGATAGGCTGTGGAGCCATACTCCAAGACCCTAAAGGTTCCAGGATCTGCTCCCTCTGCCCCCAGATAACTTCGCTGCAGCAGGAGGGTGAGGAGCTGAGTGGGCAAGCTCGATGCCCCTTTGACGCCACCCAGTCCAACGTGGCCGTCTTTGCAGGTGTGCAACTGGGCATGTGTGAAGCAAGTATGTGGCTGGAGGGAGCTCCCACCTCAGCTCCTCTCCCAACCGGTCTTTTCCCCTGTTCCCCTGAGTGGAGGGTTGAGGTAGGGGCCAGGGCCAGGCCTAGGCAGGAGTGTGGGAGGCCCAAGAAGAGGCAGGATGCAGATCCCCGAGCCCTCCCCTGACCCCACTTCACCCATCCCTCCAGAGGGCAGCCTGTACTCGGCCACAGCTGCGGACTTCCAGGCCAGTGATGCTGTAGTTTACAGAAGCCTTGGGCCTCAGCCCCCACTCCGCTCCGCCAAGTACGACTCCAAGTGGCTCCGAGGTCAGGGCGGGCCTGGGGAAAGGAGACTGTTCTCGGGGAGGAGGCGCAGAGGGAGGACTGAGGCAGGGAGCAGGCAGAGGGTGTGGAAGTGGGTATGTACGCAATGGGGAGGGGGGTGTGGGACCAGGAGCTTCTGAGCAGATGCAGATACTCTTCTATACCCTTCCCTGTCACTCCCCACCTTAGAGCCACACTTTGTCCATGCCCTGGAGCATGGAGACCATGTCTACTTCTTCTTCCGTGAGGTCTCTGTGGAGGATGCCCGGCTGGGGAGGGTAAGGAAGTGGGCATCAGGGTGGGTAGCTGGAGGGTTCTGCTGGATCCTGAGGAGCCAGTCTGAGTGGGAGGAGAGCTCCTGACCATCATCTCCACAAAGCAATCCCCTCGACCCTCAGCCCCCAGCTTGGAATAGCCCCGAGGCCTGTGCCCCCACATCTTGCTTGTCCCTCACTCTTGACCCACACTGACCCACCACGATACACCCTTCATTCACTACGCCCCACATGTTGCTCCCTCGGTGCTAACTCACCACGCTCGTGCACACAGCTGGCCCTGTGGCTCCTTCACTGCAGTCTGCTCCACTCTCCCCCCAGGTGCAGTTCTCCCGAGTAGCCCGAGTGTGTAAACGTGACATGGGTGGCTCGCCTCGGGCCTTGGACCGACACTGGACATCCTTCCTGAAGCTGCGGCTCAACTGCTCTGTCCCTGGGGACTCTACCTTCTATTTTGACGTCTTACAGGCCTTGACTGGGCCTGTGAACCTGCATGGCCGCTCTGCTCTCTTTGGGGTCTTCACCACCCAGACCAATAGGTTGGTACTAGTCTAACTAGTGTGACCCAATCTGTCCCCTGCCTCACCAGCCTCCAAACTCCCTTCATAGCCTGCTGATGGGGGGGCCCTCAAGGAAACCTCTAAGCAAAGCCAGTTTGCTGTCTTGCCTACCATGTTTTCTCCTAGTGTGGCACCCACTGGCTGCCCACCTCCTCAGTCTCTACCCCCTAACGTGTGTGAAGGGAGCCACCACTTCTTCCTGGGGAAAGTTGTGCAGTTCCTTTCAACACCCACCCCGCATCTTTTCTGGCTCCTCCAGCATCCCTGGCTCTGCTGTCTGCGCCTTCTACCTGGATGAGATTGAGCGTGGGTTTGAGGGCAAGTTCAAGGAGCAGAGGAGTCTGGATGGGGCCTGGACTCCTGTGTCTGAGGACAGGGTCCCCTCACCCAGGTACCCAAGATGGAGTGGCTTTTGTGGGGGCAGATGCTGCTTGCTTCTGCAAGATGGGATTATGAGGAGGGGGTAAGATGTCCAAGGCCTCAGGGTGGAGAGCTATAGTGGGGTGGCAGTGGGACCAAAGAGCTGTGGCAGGGAAGGGGAGCAGTGGTATGAGTGTCTTTGTGGAGGGAGAGCAAGGCTTTATAGTCATGTTTGGGAGCAATGAGGGGCACGGAGCTTAAGCTCTAGCTCCCAGTCCCAAGGCAGCCCCTTCCTATGCACCCCCCAGGCCAGGATCCTGTGCAGGAATAGGGGGAGCTGCCTTGTTCTCCTCTTCTCGAGACCTCCCTGATGACGTCCTGACCTTCATCAAGGCTCACCCGCTGCTGGACCCCGCTGTGCCACCTGCCACCCATCAGCCTCTACTCACTCTCACTAGCAGGTATGGGGCTGAAAAACACTGACCACTGCCCCCCTGTCCTCAGCCACCCTCCTTTTTCTTTGACCCCACAAGGTAAACCACATTGGTGGGACGAAGAACTTGTAAAAGTAGAATGGAGAGAGTAAGAAGAGAACCCTCGGGCCTGGGGGGAGGGCACAGGACAGCCGGGCTCTCCCTGAAATGCTCAGGCTTCCCTAGACAGGTTCCCTGACCTGAGGCCCTTTTCTCCAGGCCCCTACTGACCCAGGTAGCTGTGGATGGCATGGCTGGTCCCCACAGTAACATCACAGTCATGTTCCTTGGCTCCAACGACGGGACAGTGCTGAAGGTGCTGCCCCCAGGTGGGCGATCTGGGGGACCTGAGCCGATCCTCCTGGAAGAGATTGATGCCTACAGCCCTGCCCGGTGAGACCTTTGGAGAGCAGGCCCGCTGCAGAGGAAGGATGGGATGGGAGGTAGCAGCTGTGTATGTGGGAATGGCTTGGAAACATCAACATTGGCTTTTGCAGGGTGGGAGCTCTGGGCTAGAGAGGCTTGGCAAGAAGACTGGACAGTGTAGTCGGGCAGGGCAGCTCCATGGGTTGTGCTCAGTTTCTTGTGCACCTCCCCGCTTTCGGTTTTTCTACTCACTCAGGGTAAAGGTAGCCTCACCTGCCTATTTCTGGTTCCTTCTGGCCTCATCCTAGGTGCAGTGGGAAGCGGACAGCCCTAACAGCACGACGGATCATAGGGCTGGAGCTGGATACTGAGGGTCACAGGCTCTTTGTGGCTTTTTCTGGCTGTATTGTCTACCTCCCTCTCAGCCAGTGTGCCCGGCATGGGGCCTGTCAGAGGTGAGAGGGGCCTGAGGCCCTGTGTGGGCAAGCTCCCCAGGCCAGCAAGAGCACAGAAACAGGTCTTGGGGTTGGCAGGGAAACATAGGGGATGGCTGGGATGTGTGTGGGTACCTCAAGCATTCCGAAGGTGGGCAGCAACCAGGGTGTGGAGAGACTGGGGTGGGCAGGAGGGAATGAAGCTGGGAGTCTCCTGGAAGCAAGGGCGGGAAGAGGCAGGAGAATGTTAAGTGACTAGAGTGGAAAGGGTTCCAGCTTCACATGCCTCTGCTTTCCCTAGGAGCTGTCTGGCTTCTCAGGACCCATACTGTGAATGGCACAGCTCCAGAGGCTGTGTGGATATCAGGGGACCTGGTGGGTGAGTGATGGGTCCTTGGATTTCCTGAGCATAAAATTCCCCACCACTAAAAGAGCAAGAGGGCCAGAGTGGGAGACAGGAACAAGGTACAGAATTCTAGAGCCACCTCATTTTCCACCTAGGACTGATGTGGATCGGGCTGGGAACAAGGAATCCATGGAGCATGGGGACTGCCAAGGTAAACAGAAGAGGCGGCTGCGGTTGAAGTCAAAGCTGCACATGGCTATGATGGCCACAGACACCATCCCAGGCTTGGGCTCTTGTCCTCTCCTGTGGCACAGTCACCCCATCAGTTCTTCACGAAGCTTCTCCCTCTCCCCAATCTTCACCCTCTTGCTTCTTCACAGACGGAGCTACTGGGAGTCAGTCTGGCCCTGGGGATTCTGCTTATGGTGAGTCCTCTTGTACCAACTCTACCTTTCCTTGCTCAGCCCACATACCTGAGTGTGTGTCCTGTGGCAGCAGCAGACCAGCATCCTGAATACCCTGGGAGTCTCAGAAAAGGGTCAGCATCCTCCAGATACCCAGCATGTAGCTCAGTACTTGGCACACAGTAGGGCACTTTTTGAATAAATAAATCAATGTCCTGCATGATGAACCCTGCCCCATGCCCGGAAGAAAGTAGAGGCTGGTATTCTGGACTCCTAGGTTCCACAGGAGGGAGGAAGGACCCCTGGAAGGGTGTCAAGGGGAAAGATCAGGAGCCTCACTGGCTCTGACCTGGTCTCTGTCACCAGTGCTTCCGGGTCCTGGTCCTGACCTTGGGACCCTCAGTCCCCCCAGTGATGCCCACCCCCGGCCCCAGTCTTCCACTCTTGGAGCTTACACTCGGGGTAAGGGGACTACCTGGGAGGGACAGGAGTAAAGTGTGGGGCTGCTGATTCTCGGAGTGTTCTAAGCCCCTCACTGATCGGTGTTTGGTGTTTGGTGCTCACTAACGCCTGTTTGTGGAGCCTCCTCTCCCCAGAGCTGGGCATCCGAGCCTACCTCCGTCTGCACGAGCAGTTTGGCAGTTGCTCTTGGCATGGCTACAGGGGCCAGAACTGGGATGGGGACTCCCCAGGCCCAAGCTCTGGCCTGAGTGTGAGGGGCAGTACATGGGCTGTTGCTGAGGGGTCAGGGGAGGTGAATCCTGAGATGGTGGAGGCTGTGGATGGTATCAGGCCTGGGAACTAACGGCGCCTCTGAGCCTAGGTGCCCCCCGACCCCCACCCGTGCCGCCTCCCCTTGGCTGAGCCTCCCTCCTCCCTCTCGGTCGGCAGGCGTGCGTCGGGACCCGCCCCCAGCCTCAGCCTCCCGCTCCGTCCCCATCCCACTCCTCCTGGCCAGTGTGGCCGCAGCTTTCGTCCTGGGCGCCTCAGTGTCTGGCCTCCTGGTCTCCTGTGCTTGTCGCCGCGCCCACCGACGTCGAGGCAAGGACATCGAGACTCCGGGGCTCCCGCGCCCTCTTTCCCTCCGCAGTTTGGCCCGACTCCACGGTGGGGGCCCAGAGCCCCCGCCGCCGTCCAAGGACGGCGACGCGGTGCAGACGCCGCAGCTGTACACCACCTTCCTGCCGCCTCCCGAGGGCGTGCCCCCGCCGGAGCTGGCCTGCCTGCCCACCCCCGAGTCCACGCCGGAGCTGCCGGTCAAGCACCTGCGCGCCGCCGGGGACCCCTGGGAGTGGAACCAGAACAGGAACAACGCCAAGGAGGGCCCGGGCCGCTCTCGGGGCGGGAACGCGGGGGGCGGGCCGGCGCCCCGCGTGCTGGTGAGGCCGCCACCGCCCGGCTGTCCCGGGCAGGCGGTGGAAGTCACCACCCTGGAGGAACTGCTGCGCTACCTGCACGGCCCGCCACCGCCCAGGAAGGGGGCCGAGCCCCGACTTCCTTTAACCTCGCGGGCGCTCCCGCCGGAGCCCGCCCCCGCCCTCTTGGGCGGCCCCAGCCGCAGCCCCCGGCCCCCAGAGTGCGCCCGGCCGCTGAGGCTGGACGTGCCACCCGAGGGCAGGTGCGCCGCTGCCCCCGCCCGGCCCGCGCTCTCCGCCCCCGCTCCCCGGCTGGGCGTCGGCGGGGGCCGGAGGTTGCCTTTCTCCAGCCACCGGGCCCCCCCTGCCCTGCTCACTCGAGTCCCCTCGGGGGGTCCCTCCAGGTACTCCGGGGGGCCCGGGAGGCACCTCCTGTACCTGGGTCGGCCCGAGAGCTACCGGGGCCGCGCCCTGAAGAGGGTGGACATGGAGAAGCCCCAGCTGTCCCCGAAGCCTCCCCTCGTCGGGCCCTCCTCCAGCCAGGCCGTCCCGAACGGCGGCCATTTCAACTTTTAAAGGGAGCGGCCCCCGGCCTCCAGCGGAGGGCGGGCGGGGCGGGGAGTCCTCTCGGCCGCCATCGGGACGCTCCTCAGGACGCCTCGCCGCCCCCTCGCCCCGCACCTCCAGCCTTCCCGACTCGCAGAGCCTCCCGAGGCCCCTTTCCGCCTCGGTCTATTTATTGACTGTCGACTGGCTTTCCCCCTGCCCTCGAGAGAGGGGCGGGAGGCGGGCCAGCCCTTCGCGGGAGCTGGCGGACTCCCACTCCCCGCTCCCTTCCAGCCAAGCTGCCTTAACTCGCCCCTCGGGGCGCCCCCAGAGACTGGGCCCCAGGCGGGCCGCGCGGCGGACGGGCTGGGCCGGGGCCGCGCGCGCTGTGTCCCGAGTCCTCGGGCCTCCGGGGCTGGGACGTGCCTCTCCTACTGTGTAGGAGCCTCCGCTTCCCAATACAGCCGTGTCCGCAGCCGCTGCCTGCTTTACTCGGGCGGGGAGGGCGGCAGTCGGTCGGCTCGCTCGGGGCGCCCTCGCCCTCGGCCTCGGTCGGGGCCCCGGGCTCCCCCGGGGAATGGGATGGCTGCGGTCCCGCCGGGGGGAGTCAGGAAAGGGTCCCGAAGGAAGCGAGCGAACTGTTGGTGCCGAGGTGAGCCGGGGCCCGGGGCACCCGGGAGAGCTGGGGTGGGCCTGGGGGGGAAGACCCTCGGAGCTCGCTCCCGGATCGAGGTAAGACGGACCTGCTGACAGGCCGAGTCTACGGGATGGGGCGGGGGAGGGAATTTTTTGAGAAATAAAATGAAGCTGCAGCGTAACGTTAACTGAAGTTCCACATCAGAAAGTCTTGTCCTGAGACTCTGGCTAGAAGAGTTTGGGTCGCAGGAGGGGTAGGCTGCAAAACACGCAAACGCTTCGGCGCTGTCGGAGGCAAGGTCTTGCCCCCAGCGCTTCCCGGAGGAGCGGCCCCCGCGGAGAGCGGGAGGGGGCGAGGGCGCGCGCGGCGTCACACGCATGCGCAGCCACGCCCCCGCCGCCCCACGAGGCGCCTCCGCCGGCGTGCGGCGGTCTGGATGCTCCCTTTGCTCCGGTTGGAACTGGCTGCCCGGGCTGGGAGTGGCTGCGTTATCCCCGGCACCACTGGGAGAGACGAACAGGACCACCTGCGCCGCCCACTACCCTCGCGCTAACGACGCTTAAGGCCTAACGCCGGCGGCGGCAGTTGGTGCGGATTTACAAATCGGGTTTTTTCACCGGTTCGTGGCTGCAGTGTCCGCACAGTTCAAGCCTCACATTCTCCCGCTGGCGCCCCCTGGGGGCCGGGCCAACCCACTGCTGCTAAGGAAACGTCCTCAGTCCCTTTCCCGTTTGGTACCTAAAAGTCCCCGGCGAGAAACTGCTGAGGACAAGGAAGGGAAGAACCCTGAGGTTGTTCCTAGTTCTGCCCTTTGCTACCTTAGATTATGACGGGTCAAAACTCCTCCCGGAGCCTCCATTTGCTCATCTGAAAAACGGGGTTGAGAGGCTCAAGTACTAGAATGTGAAAAAGCTTTCTAAAGGCATGGCATCTTGTGAGATAGTATTTCCTCCAAACTCACGCATAGGCTATTCCTATTCCCAACTTTGCGATCTGCTTTTACTAGGCAATCCCTTTCCCTTTGTATCCTTAGAATTTTCATCTACAGATTTTACCCTCAGGGTTTTTTAATGCCCTCTGAACATTACTCCTATTTCAGTTAAGCTTGTCTGGCCAAATTTGGTTGGTCGTCCTCCAGAGTCTGACCCCTTTTTGCTTGGCTCTTGTTTCACCAGGTTGGAGTGGTCCTTTAGGTCCCAGTTTTTCCTGTATTGGGTGCCTTACTTAAAGCAAGGTGCTTTGGGGTCAGTGTTAGTTTCCTAGATACTGGAGGAAAGCAAGCAAGGAAGGAGTAGAGAATCCAGTCACTTGATTTCATTATCCTCTTCAAATCGAGATTTTGCAAGGACAAGGCAAAAATTTCAAGGCTGCAGCCTTTCACAGTCCTCTGAGGGACAAAACTCAAATACACGGCCGGGCGCGGTGGCTCAAGCCTGTAATCCCAGCACTTTGGGAGGCCGAGGCGGGTGGATCACAAGGTCGAGAGATCGAGACCAACCTGGTCAACATGGTGAAACCCCGTCTCTACTAAAAATACAAAAAATTAGCTGGGCATGGTGGCGTGTGCCTGTAATCCCAGCTACTCAGGAGGCTGAGGCAGGAGAATTGCCTGAGCCCAGGAGGCGGAGGTTGCGGTGAGCCGAGATCGCGCCATTGCACTCCAGCCTGGGTAACAAGAGAGAAACTCCGTCTCAAAAAAAAAAAAAAAAAAAAAAAACAAAAACTCAAATACAGTTCTTGCCCCGAAGGTGGTCACAAAAAGGGGTAAATGATCCTAAATCAGACCTAGGAGAGTTAAATGCAATGGAAATTTAATCTTGCAATTCTTTGCAGGCAGTAGTAATTTATAGGTTAAAGTCCTGGTTGTAGTTTAATTGTAAAATATGTTCATTTATCAGTATGATGACTTCTTTAGCCAAAGAGTATCTAAACTGGACTCTCAGAGCTAACAGAAGTAACTATGTTGCAGTGACAGCAACAGTCCTTGGTCTCTACCACTTTTCTATGTGACCTTGGCAATTCAACTAACCTCTTTGAGGCTGTTTTTTGGTAAGAAATGGAAAGAACATATACCAACAGGGATTTGTAAAGCACCGTATAAATATATATATTTAAATTAAGTGCTTTGTGGGAAAGTTATTTGCCCAAAGTAAAGATTTCTACCAAGTATGCAATTCATTAATACAGATACCTCTCCCTGATAGAGAGTAGTAAATAATAAATTAAGAGGATGAATTCAAAGAAATTATTCCTGATGACAGGATAAATAGGACCTCAAGGAATCTGCTAATATTCTTTTTAAAAAATCATACTCTTGGCCGGGCGCGATGGCTCAAGCCTGTAATCCCAGCACTTTGGGAGGCCGAGGCGGGTGGATCACGAGGTCAAGAGATCAAGACCATCCTGGTCAACATGGTGAAACCCCGTCTCTACTAAAAATACAAAAAAAAACTAGCTGGGTGTGGTGGCGCGTGCCTGTAATCCCAGCTACTCAGGAGGCTGAGGCAGGAGAATTGCCTGAACCCAGGAGGCGGAGGTTGCGGTGAGCCGAGATGGCGCCATTGCACTCCAGCCTGGGTAACAAGAGCGAAACTCCGTCTCAAAAAAAAAAAAAAAAAAAAAAAAAAAAAAAAAAAAGAGAAAAAATCATACTCTTAGCTCAGTTTTTGTCTTAAGGAAAACCAGAATGTGCCAACAGGAGGGCAGCATCATCCTCAGGGATTTCTAGGCTGATTTCTCAGAGGCATCCTGGGAGATTATGGAGAAACCATGGCCCCAGCAGGGAGAGTCCATCAGTTTATGTAAGGCTTTGGGGACTTCAGACAGAAGGTTCCACACTCACAGAGCTTGAAAAGCTGTTCAGCATCTTGGGTTCTTTGGAAGTGAAGTCACAGGGGCCTGAGCTATTATTGTCTCTCAGATTTTTAACTCCTTAATGTCACCATCCCATGCATGAGAACCACACAGGTACGTGTCATTCTCTGCTACTTAATCCAGCAATTGACCCTTCAGAACTGTTAGCTCATAAGAACGTAAGGTTCCATGTGTGAAAGTAAGTTTCAAGTACATGGATAAAATATGAAGCCTATAAATCTAAAAGATCACCTGTCTTTACCAGGTGTATTGGACGGGTCCCAACAGGAAATAACATTCTCAAAATAATGAAGGGTTATTTTTAAAGGTATGGGCTAAGGATAGGTCAGTAGCTGGAGGCTAATAACTGCCTTAGGCCTAAAAGGATAAAGGAGATGCTGGTTTCTAGGTCCTGGAGGGGGAGAGTGCCTTGAGAGAAGCAGTGACTTTTTTTTTTTTTTTTTTAAAGATAGCATTGCAGGCTCGAGTGAAGTGGTGTGATCTCAGCTCACTGAAACCTCCGCCTCCCAGGTTCAAGTGATTTTCGTGCTTCAGCTTCCCCAGTAGCTGAGATTACAGGAGTTAGCCACTGTGCCGGGCAAATGTCAATACAGTGATTTCAGTTTTTTCTCTCCCCCGAGTCTCCTGCCAGGGCTCCCTATTGGCTGAATCCAACTGGAAGCCAAAACACAGGAAGCCCATTGATGTTCGTATTTGTCACTCTCCCGGGACAGAGAACAGGAGACAGAATGGAGGAGCATAATCTGGAAGGAAAGAAAGAAAACATCCAGCATACCTAGAGATGAAGACCCCATTCATTCCCCACAGGAGAGATTATTTTTTACCCTTCTTGCTTAAGTATTGCTGGCCAGAAACTCTAGGCAGATACCCCAAATTAGTTTTGGAGCAAAATTTACTTTGGGGAGTTTATAGGAAATGCTACTTGGATCATTGCCCCCCCCCCCCTTTTTTTGGAGACAGTCTCACTCTGTCACCCAGGTTGGAGTGCAATGGCACAGTCTTGCTCACTGCAATCTCAGCCCCTAGGTTCAAGCGATTCTCCTGCCTCTGCCTCCCGAGTAGCTGAGATTACAGGCGCATGCCACCACACCCAGCTGATATTTGTATATTTAGTAGAGGTGGGGTTTCACCATGTTGACCAAGCTGGTCTTGAACTCCTGACCTCAGGTGATTCACCTGCCTCGGCTTCCCAAAGTGCTGGGATTACAGGTGTGAGCCACTGAGGCTGGCTCTGCTATTTTTTAAAAATAAATGTGTGCTGATTTTGGACTAAGATAGCAGCAAGCACCCTATTAACCAAGAATAGCTGAGAAGCTGGCAAAGTAAATCTGCTCTTTCTAAGCATTCCTGAGTCTAATGTTTTTCCTCTTACATCTCAGCATTGACTTTACTCCCACACAAGGCACATAATCGTTTTCTTCAGCTACCGTCCTCCCTTGGTTGTTTGCTTTTAGGGAAGGGAGTCGGGGGAGAGAGAAAGAAGGAAAATGTACATTTAAGAAGCTGGTCAAAAGCCCTCCTCATTCTCATTTCACTTCTTGCCTCAACCTGCTCTGCCTGTCAAGAATACCAGGCTGAGAAAGGTGGATAAGGAAAAGGCAGTGGGTGTGCATGGGTTAGAGCTATACCTCTCCGCCTGCAACTGGCTCAGTTGGACA